ATATATATGAAAACATTCTTGAGTAGTGGAGCATGCATTAATGAAATTTTTGTATTGTAAGTTGGACTCCACTGTTTCACAAATTGTGATAATTCATAAAGGAACTGAGATTAACTTCAGTAATGTCTTACCATTATGAGTTTGTTAAACAGATTAGTAAACAAAATACTAAAGAGAATGTTGAAATGACTTAAAGAAGATAACAATATGCAATGTATTAATTATTGTAACTGTCCTACTGACCTGCTTTGAAACTGTCTTATTGCTATTTGTTTCTCAATAAAATTAATAAAAAAGAAATTACTTAAAAGAACCTTTATGCACTTTATATATTTTTATTTTATGAGAAAATAAAAATTTTCTAACAAAATAAGCAATAACTAATACACTCACAATAATAGCTAATACACTGTATATTATTATCTTTGAATTAATTACTCCAAATATAAGACATACAGCATAAAGATTCTTTCAAAAACAGATAGTAACACAGAACCTTCTTTTTGATGAACAAAACAGTATAAATGAAACAAATTAGCATATATATTAAAATACTTTTGAAAGAATACAATTGACAATTTTGGGGAATATTTGAATCTCTCTTTTGATGTGATACAGGTGCTCCTAGAATTATGTTGGGCTTATATTCCAATAAACTCATTATAAATTGAAAATATCATAATTCAAAAATGCATTTATGATATTTAACCTACCAAAACCATAGTTTAACAGTTCACAGTAAACTATTAGTTATTTTTCCCTTATGATCACATGGCTGATAGGGAGCCATGGCACACTGCAGCTGCACAATATTGATGGAAAATACTGAACACATTACTAGCTTGGGAAAATAGGACAATTAAAAGTATAGTTTCTACCAAATGCATATTACTTTTGCACCATTTTAAAATTGCAAAGTCCCAAGGGAAGCCATAGTAAGTCAGAAACCACCTGTAATTGCGGTATGATTTTCTATATGCAGACATTCATTCATAATGGTTGATTAACACCCCGCAAAGCCAGGTGTGGTGGAGTGTGCTGTAATCTCAGCATGCCAGGGGCTGAGGCAGGAGGACTGCCATGAATCTGAGGCTCCCTGAACTAATAGTGAGTTTAAAGCCAGCCTGAACTATATAGTAAGCCCTTGTCTCAAACAAATTTAAAAGTTTAGGGCCAGCAGTACAGCTCAGCAGACTAAGCATTTGCTTAGGTAAGCTCAGGGGCCAGGGTTCGATCCCTGGCACCACATGCCTCGACAGCCTCGCCCCTGGACATGCTGAGCCAGAGATAGAGTCTGGGCATGGTGGTGCACAACTATAATACCAGCACTAGGGAGGCAGAAATCAGAATGATCACTACAAGTCCTACCTGCATAGTGAGACCCTGAACAAAAAGAAAAAAATACCTTAAAAAAATTTAAAAGTCTAAAAATCAGAAGACCATTAGTCATGTAGCCAGTTCCAGTTCAACACATCAAAAAGTTGTAAGAAGTGAACTAAAATGAATTTTGCATAGGTTTGTAGAAGGGTTTTTTTTTTTTTGAGGCTCAAATGCCTTTAGGGCATTTCTAGTTTGCAGTGACTGTCTGGGTTCGAACCACAGAAGCTTGAGCTTGAGGGCTTTGTTTAAGCAGGCACTTAAACAACTGAGCTGCTGGGCAGCCCCCCTTTGCATAGGTTTGTATTTGTAATTTGAACATGAATGTTAATTGTATTATTAATAACATTTTTAGAGCTTTAACAGAATCCATTTGAAAGACTAAAATATCTCTTCGTTTTATTTTTAGATAATGGTAAAAATAAATAACAGTATTAAGATACTGTAAAAACAAAGTTATGTATTTAAAAAACCAGAATTCATGTTGCTTATACAATTTATCTGAAAATAGGATTTGGAGCACATTAACCATCTCAATTTGTACATATCAGACCAGTTTTATAAGACACGTAGATTAAAACAGTTCCTTAGTAATAGTAAAAACATATAGGATATAACAATATATGAACTTAATCATCTACATCTGCTTAGAAAACATTCCCTAAGGAGATACCATGATGATCTGAAGTCTGACTTCCATAGCATGCTCATTTATAATTTATTTTTAGTTAATTTATTAATCTAGCATATAGAAAACTATGTTCACAAAAATGAGATAAATTGCTATTGGCAGTCCCCCTCCTCCTTTGGGTTTAGCTACAAAAATCAGAAAAACAAGTGGCACAGCTCATGCTACACTGAACTCCTCCCTTTAAACAAGGGCTATACATCCAAACTCAGATGAGACTTTCTATAAAACCTTCTCAGACATACCTCAGTCTCTGGTAATCTCCCTTTACTATTAATTCTCTTAATCTTCATTTTAAATTTCAAGAGTAAGCAATTTAATTATTGGGACCTGTTAATGTTCTATTTCAAAAACACTCAGGATGGCTGTGGGCATACAGTACAAGCTAGAAAATAAAAACTGGTTGAAAGTCACTGTAAAGTCAAAATAAACAAAAATCTTCATTCCAGAGTCCACTGGACAATGTCTTCAAGGTACCTGCAAAATGAACTACCAATATTATTTTCACTACACCGTGGTAAATGCTCTTTTGTATGAGATACTTATCTAGCCATAGTCATTACAATAGACTTCTACTGTATGCAAATCTCTTCTAGGTTCCAAAATATGTGACAGTAACAGCAGGGATTCATGTGGTAATTATTATTTGAAATAATTTAGACTTTAACTCATCAAGAGTTTTTCAAAGCAAAAACGCCTCTAACTTTAGAATTTAGCAACTAAAAGCACGTCAGCTTGCCAATACATCAATGCATCATGACCCTGAAGTCTTAAGATTATTTTCCAGTGGCAGCAGAGTTATACTGCATCTCAAACCTTAACCAAGAGACCCTCAAACAAGAAATCTGTCAAAGTGAAGCATTTCATTCAAAACTATTAGGAAACTGGCAGTTCTAGTAGACTCAGAGTTAATCACAGGTAACACACACACACACGCACACACACACACACACACACACACATTCTTTTAAAAGTCTTTAAAAGAATTTACAAGAACTAAATTTAGTTCTTTTTTTTTTCTTGTGGAATGGGGGATTGAACTCAGGACCCTGCACTTGCCAGGCAGGCGTTTATTCTTCTGAGCTATTTCCCCAGCCCCAGTTCTTCCATTATAGTACTTTTTTTTCATCACTTCTTTTTGGATAAAAGAAATCTGAAAAGACTTAAAAACCACAAGAATGGGAGCGATTCAAAGAGGAACCCATCTTCTATTGTCTGCTCACAGAAGTACCTTATAATCAAAATTACTAGCTAATTAAAATTTAGTCCATTTTGAAAGGGGTCAACATAAACTGTATTTTCGTTTAATCACCTGCTTTTTAAAAAAGAATCTAACTTCTCAAAGATAGTATTTTTAATTTTCAAAAAATGTAGCTCACAACTTTAGATTCTTAAACTTTACCTTGTCCAAAATGTCTGATGCCTCATGCCAACATTTTTGGAAAGTGACTATGTCTAATTGCAGATTAGCACAATAAACAGATCACAATCCAGTCCCATTTTTATTGGGAACATTTTAAGTTTTATCAACATGTTTTGTAATGAAAATGAAGTAGTATGCTATCATTTGGATGAAAAAGAAGCATGTCATTTTGAATGAAAAATAGTTCATAAAACCTGTTACCAATAATCCACTCTGCGTATATCTTAAGTTTGATAGCACGTTGAAAAGTCAGGTAGAATGTATGCTGCTCAATTGGCTTATTATTATTACTAGTATTGTGATTATTATCAATAATCATCATTACTTGATATAATTACTATCTTCCTACTATTACCTGCTAGGAGTCAGAAGATTTTGGCACATAAGTGAAGAGAAAACTGTAAAGTAAGGGTTCACTCTAGCTTTTTGTTCAAGCCTTGAGCAAGAAGCAACAGCAGCACAGAGAATGGGTTCTTCAGAGGCATGAGGTCTGGCTGAGTCTCCTGATAGCAATAGCCAGAGGTAAAACCAGAACCACTGAAAGAAAGGAGAGACCATGGCACTGGAAGAGACAGTCTTAGAATCAGGGAGTCAGAGGCAAGACTGTACATAAGAGTTGACAACATCTGTGGCATCAAAGAAGCAAATCCAGGCCTTCAACACTGACCCTACATTCCTGGACGTAGGAGCTGAGGCCAGAAACTGGTGGGTTTGAGAAACAAAACTACCTCAAATTAGCCAGGAGCAAACGTAGCTTCAGAAGGAAAAAGCAGTATTTCTCTCTGTTCCCGGGGCCCCAGAAGCTGGAAAGGCGCTCCAGCACTGAAGGAGTGCGGTGCCACTACTCACCCCCTACTCTCCTATGGTCACCGTCGTCGCCCACCTCGGTTCCAGGCAGCCCCAGCAAGGAAGCTGGGGAAGAAGCCCCTCCCCCGCCCGCCGCCGCGGATGGGTTTGGCGGGCAAGGGAGGTGGCTGCGCAGGTGTCCAAGAGATGGGGCCAGAGAGGAGCTGGATGTAAGGGAGAAATCTGGTGTCTTGGCTCCCTGGCGTCTCCAACTTCACCACCATCGACGTAGAAGGATGAGGGGAAGGAATGGGGTGGGGGGGAGGCCCTCGCCCAGCAGCCCGGACCTTCACCTCGTAGTAGGCCCGAGCCTCTGGCGGGACCGCCGCCCCCAGTCGCCAGTGAAGAGTCCCTTAGGCCTGATACCCGTCCCTCAGTCCCCGCGGCCACAGACTGCCGCGGCTCCCTCTTGGGGCCGCGGTCGCAGCTGCATCCTCATGCACCTCCTCCTCTGGCGCCGCTGCCTACACACACAACCCTGGCGCCTTTATCTTTGCTGAGCACAACCGCCGTTGCCTAGCAACCGCGCGCATGCGCCCCACCCCCGCTGGCTACGGATGCCACCACTGGTGCCGCTGTAGGAGCTCTGACCGGGACGTCCACCACCTGGAAAAGTAGGCAAAATCCAACTTCCTAGAGCCTAGGTGAGTGACGTCAAGGTAAGTGTGAGATCTGGAAGCGGATATGTACTTATTTATTTTTCTGCCTTTAGTCTTGCTCCTCCAATCCATCTTTCACAAGGGTTGCCAAAGAGGTGTTCTAAATAACCTGTCTGACCATTTTACTCCTCTGCAAAATTCCAATGATGAATGGACAGCCCCCTTAACAGGGGCTAACAGGTCTTGAGTACTGCAGGAGCATCCTTTTTGGTCTCCTTGACTTTAAACTTTAGGCTTATTTGACTGCAATCTGCAGAATGATCTTAGGAAAATTCACATGGACTGCCACTTTCTCCTGGCTTAAAGAATGGGCTTTTTAAGTTAAGAGTGAAAGTAAATTTCTGCTCCATCACTCAGTAGCTGTTTGCCTTAAGCTAGGATGCTTAGCTCCAAGAATCTGCTTCCCCATCTCTAAAATGAGAATAACTTAGTACTTACACAGCAGTTATGAGAAGTACTTCAGAAAGTGTGTGTAAACTACGTAACATACATAACTTACACTGGCAGACTAAGTACTCAGTAAAAAGAATTAGGTACGTTTTCAAAAATTTGTCACTGCCTATAGTACAGGAGAGATTAGAAACGCTCTAGCAATTTTACATCCATTTTGGTAGTACTTGCTCCTTATACTTCACTTCAGTCATTCACTCACATAGTAATCTTTTTAATTTTTGAGATACTAACCCCATAAAATGCTTAGAAATATTTCCCCATTTCAACTTGGAAAAATTCAATATAAAAAGAAATCTATATGAATATTGCGGTTAAAGAACATGTAAATATCCAGCAACCCTTTCAAAACCATATATCAATTTTAAAATATTGACTCTGAGACTTGGCTTGTAGGTAATGATTATACACAAAAAATTGTGATTTTCTGAGGGCTTATTTTTTTGATCATTTAAAATGAGCCTGGTGGGGCTGGAGAGATGGCTCAGTGGAATAAGCGCTTCCCTAGCAAGCACAAGGGTCTGAGTTCAATCCCCCGTTCTGCAAAAAATAAATAAATAAATAAATAAATAAATAAATAAATAAATAAATAAAATGAGCCTGGAGGTTCTGTAACGTGCAATGATAAAAGTCAATAATTTTGAACATAATACAATGGATGCATAAACATATTTACAAAATGTGTCCTATTGGATGTTTAATTAATAAAAGAGTTAAATGTTTTAAGAAGTACAAAAATACCTGTATGACATGTAAAAACTCAGGAAAAAGTTTTGATGAATCATTATTGGAGAGCACAAATGGATTGTAAGACGAAATGAAAATTTATCATTACCAGACAGCCAGGAAGTAATAAAGAAAGGAACAACTGCAATGGTGAAAAAGAGGAAATCACTGTAGGACTAATTAAAATAGAAATATCATATGAAATAGAGAACAAAGTGTACTCAGTGGGAAAGACACAAAGGGAATGAATATTGAATCTGTGACACTAACAATGAGTTTCAGTAGACTGCTCGTACAGCTCATGCTGTGTGATACAGCAGAGTCATACCTTTCTGCTCAAATGAAGACACTTTCCTAGTCTTCAGGCTTTTTCAATGACCATCAATTTATAGAAGCAGATATTTAATATAATTTGCTTATATCTTCTAAAACTTATACTTAGTCATGAAGATAAGTATTCTCTGTTCGATTGTTTTATATTCTTATCTTTACAGTGAAATACCAGATTAAATTTTAAAACGATACTTTAATTCTAATGTCTTCTTTAATTCTTCATTGTTGCTTTCTAGATACATAACTATGCAACTTATATAAGTTGACCTCACTCAGAATTTTTCCTGGGGTTTCAAGATATAATCTGAGCTTCTTTGCTCATGCAAATATATGCTTCTCTTTTAAAATAAGACTGTGTCTAGTAGGTCCCTTCCTTACTTTTCTATTATAATCATGTACTTTAGAATTAGTGTAGCTAAAGGCCAGTGAGATAGCTCAGAGAACTAAGTACCTGCTTAGGCAAGTGCTGGGACTGGGTTTCCATCCCTGGAACCACATGCTGTGCTGGCTCCGCCCCTGGGTGTGCTGACCAGGCCACCAAGACTAGGCATGGTGGCATATACCTGTAATCCCAGCACTGGGGAGGTTGAAAACAGAAGGACCACTAGGAGTCCAAGCTCCATAGTGAGACTCTGTACCACGTACATTTAAAGAAAAAAGAATTAGAGTAAGATGGCTGTGTATCTCTGTACTTTTCCCTGCAGAATACAGGAAGCTATGTATTTGGCTACTTGGTATGATAAATGGTAAGGTATGTGTGCATGTGCCAAACTGGCAAAACGGGATTTTCCCCCCACAGCTTATGCTCTATGTGATTTTATTTTTTATAGAACTTTTCCTGAGCATCACAGAGGGTCCAATAGACCCACACTACTCCAGGATTTATTTTTTTAAAGAAAAAAATTATTTTAATATTTCTGGGAGAATTAGCCCAGTTCATTACAATGGCACATTGAAAACAAAATTTGTAAATTTTGGAGATCTAAAGTGAATCATCAGATTATTCATATATGGATAATGAAGATGATCCATTGTGGTAAAATACATGCTTTTATAACAGAAGAGTAGTGTGGGTAGATGATGATTATGACTTTGATGTTGGCCATATGAGCCAAAGTTCCTGTGACAGTGAAATGGAATGTCATAGTTTTGGATTTTGCAAGGGGAACAATATAATACAGGGCACATATTTTATAGGAATATTTATAATAATCACTTCAAGAATCATGTACAAAAAGGGAGTTCAGGAAATCTTTCCACATAGTAAACACCAAAGAATCTAGCTGAAGGCCTGGATACCATGATAATGTCCTGCCTGTGTCCAGCTGTACACATAGAGCCCATAACAATGCTCCCCACAAGTCCAACTGGAGTCCAAGAGTCCATGAGAATATTTCATGCAAGCCTGTTTCATAGATCTGTGCTAGGAATGCCTGAAGATCAGTGGTGGAAGACAGAAAATCTGTTCCAGCACAATGAAGGATCTATGCTAACATGCTGAGGGATCTGAACTGGAGCCAGGAAGCAATGCTCAAGATAAGAACCAGAAATTCCTTGATAAGTACCACAAACATCCTCAGCAACAGTGAGGTCCGAAGCTCCTCCAACAATGAGGAAAGCTGTGTTCCCATCAGGAAAGCCAATGTGACAAGCTTCTCCAGCACTCTGAACTATAAACTGTCTTCCTTTCCAGAGCCAAGAAGTAATGCTCAAGGTGAGGACCAGAGCTCGCAAAAAGTGAACTATAGCCATTCTCTGTGACAACAAGTTCCCAAGTTTCTCCTTCAATGAGAACAGCCAATTAAGAAAGCCAGCATCACAAGTTCCTCCAGCAGAATAGCCCCAGAGAATCAGCATGTTCCTAACAGCTTCCCAACAGTTTCGCCAAACAGCTTCCTTAACAACTCCCCAACAGTGTCTCTAGTTTTGCCTCATACTGCTACCCACAATCTTCATGTGGGCCTCCCATATGCAGCACCATGCCAGTTCAGTTGAGCTGAGTGTATCAAGTTGACAACTAGTGGCAGTCTACCACATGGAGCAAGAATCAGCTAGCACAGACACAGGGAATGCAGACCTCCTCTGGTCAGAAGATTGAGCACATAACAGTAATGTGAGTAAGTGCATATTTGACCAGGTAAAATATTGAGTAATGGCCACACAACCACATGGAACGATCCAATTTTAGAACGAAGGTCCAAAAATATATGGAGAGAATTTCCAGGGATGAAACCTATTGGACAGAATGCATGCACTGCCATACAATGTTGGAAACTATAATAGACAAAATGCCAAAAGATGCTGTGAAATAAACAAAGTTGGAAATGCAAGTAAAATGTTCTGCATGCTCCAATACCCATATTAAAGGATGTATTTATTATGACATCTCAGTAGCTGAACCAAAAGCATTCATAGATCTGTTGTACTTAGCAGGAGTTTCTCATGATGATTGCAAGAATGAAAAAGACTTATGAAAAAGTAATCAAAATATGGTGCACAAATTTTTGCACTAGTATATATGATGACTTATTATGTTTTCAATTTAAACACTTTTCCTGGAACTCATCTATCAGGTCCTTATTCTAATAGTAATAAACTGAATGGTGTTGTAAACAGACTTGTTACTCCCATGTCCTAAACTAATTAGAATGTGACATTTGACAACTGGCTTTCCAGTTTTCAATTGATGTTACAATTGCTAAAGGAGCACAAGTTGAACAGTGCAGAAACTATACAGTGAGACAATGTAGAAATTCCAAATGAAATGTTGCAATTTCAAAACAAATAATTATATCGTACAATTTTAGAAACCTTTCATAAAGGTTTATGTTGGCCTTGTATATGGCAAAGAAAAACAAATTGGTATGGCTAAATGTCAAAATTGTACTGATATGGAAATATTGATCAGGAAACCTCAACAATATGGAAACCTGTGATCAAAACTTTGAACAACAAAACTAAAAGTGGAGTATACATTGTTGATGAATTATACAGTAAATATGATGTCACGTGAAACACAAAGCATTGGCCAAAGGTTGCATTTTAATTGATCATAAACATGTGTGGCATAAATACTTTGATGAGTTGCAGAGAAAATTACAAAAGAAAAAGACCATGGAGAAATTTTTTAGAGCTTTGGGAATGGAACTCATAAGAGATCATTTACAGCAGAAGGAAAAAAATTTTCCCCAGGGAATTATACAAAAAAATTATGGAGCACATGATGAGCTCACAGGTGAACAGGCAGGTGGAGCCTCATGAAGACCTACTGTGACAACAG